AAGAGTAAAAGTGAGAAAACTCATGGGTTGAGATATAAAAACAGTAATAATTGAAATAAAATAATAATAATATAGTAGTAATAATACACAAAGCACACAGTGCAGTTGCTCACCCCCCGCCGACCGATGCCCAGCCAGTCCCCCATCCCCCACCCCCCCGGCCAGCTTTCCCCAGTTTATGTACTGAGCATGACGTCCCATGGGGTGTAAGCATTACCTAGCAACAACTAAAACATCAGTGCGTTATCAACTTTGTTCTCATCCTAAATCCAAAACACAGCACTGTACCAGCTACTGGGAAGGAAATTAACTCTATCCCTGCCGAAACCAGGACACATTGACAGTCTGCAGTTGGTAGTTTTCCCAATATGGATTTAATTGAGATTGTCAGTAACAGTATATTTCTTGTGTACAAAGCAGACATACGTGTGTGCAGTTGGAAAATGATATACACGAAAGAAATAAATCTTAATTAAAACTTACCTTCCAGACTATTGCTCAGCAAAGTAATAAATAAATGTTAAGGGCTTTTTGTGATGGCTCAGGAGCAACATGACCATGTGACATGAGAAGCAATGGCCTTGTATAAAGTTCTGATTTGCTGAGAACGTTATATTGGTAGACTGTCAGATCAGGTGGTCCTTTTGAAGGTACCAGAAAGCAGAATAAAAGCAAACATCAAACGTTTCTTTTAACAGATTTCTCTGTACCTTTTAGTGTTAGATTCAGTTATAGTACATACTCATTTCATCAAGCGAGGTGGGGACCTAAAATTCATGTATCGGAGAGGCTTTATCTGGTAAGGAATTCATGATGGAGACTGTAGCTTAAATCTAGATGAAATTGTAATAGGTGGAGAATATCTTCTGGAATAGGAAAAAAGTTGTACAATGCGCATCTCGGACTCCCCGTCAGGCTTAAAAAGAAGATTATATTCCAGCCTTGTTTGTTCATTTTTCTTTCTTTCAAGTCGAAATCTTTTATCAACGTTGCCAAAATACCTGTTTGATCTTCCACTTAAAGTTCTGGTTGTCAGTAATAATAAGCTGGTCTCCATTCCAGAAGAAATTGGAAAGTTGAGAGATCTAATGGAGTTGGTAAGTACAGTTGTGAACCATTTTACTAAGTAAACCTAAACTATAAGCAGTTTATTTACGGTAAAAGAAAAATATAAATTATTAAATTTTTTAAATATAGAACTACAAAATATAAATTCAGTTACTGCTTTTTCCTAGTGTTTGAGCTCAAATTACAGGCATAATATATTGTAGAGTTTCAAAAATGGGGTTAAACACAAATCAGTATGTTGGATTACCTAAAACTTAAGGGGCTCATAAATAAAATCGCTCTTCAGATTATTTCATTTGAGTCCCTTGCTTGTATGTTGTTAAATATGGTGAATTTTTCTGTTTACCTTCCTTACAGTAATCATAATTCTATTATTTTTCTTATATGTTATCGGCAATCTTCTTTCCAGCTGAAGAGTTCATCTCTATTTACTCTGTACTCTTATACAAACTATGCCATTCAATCATTGTTGTCTTGTTCT